TTTACCCCCGTTCACCTTTCTCTCACTGGGAAAAGTGAGTGGGAGGCAAAGGCAGCTCCAGACTAAGCCTGGAAAAGCTGTTCCCTGAAATAATCCTCATAGCATTGCCCACTCTTCTTATCCCAAGTGGGCCAGGCTTCCAATTAAGCCTACATACTGGCACATCACCCCACCTCCTACTGTCCTGGACTGGCAAATCAAGGGGCTCATGTAGCTTGCTAAGGGCTATGCTCCCCACAAGCCTTTCCACATCATGGAGAGAGAGGGGTAAAGCAAAGCCAACCTTTGACTGAGCCTGCAAATAGAAGTACAGGCACAGATTTTTATCCATCCCTCAGCCTCTTTGATTTAGTTATTTTATTTCTGTGTTGTGCAATAGCTGAAGCTTTCTGGATGGTTCACAACAATTTCTCACAATACAAAAAAGAAATACAATTAAAAAGTATAAAAGAAATACAATTAAAAGTATAAAAACAGTTTAAAATTACAATATACAAAATGTAAAAAAAAGTTTAAATATCTAAAACCATTTCAGTTAAACAAGACCTAATTAAAACAGCTGACATAACCCATCATATAAAAATGCCAAGGAACAGAGGGCAGTTTTAACCTGACACTGAATATCATCAAGCAGGTCTTAGTGGAGAGTTAATTCCACTAAGAAGGACCTCCTCCTTATTGCCTCTTTCCAGCCTCTTTTGGAGTTGGCAGTCAGAGGAAGGCCCCATATGCAGATTCTATGGTCCAGGTAGGTTGAGATTGTGAAAGGCTTTCCATCAGGTACCATCAGGTCCCAAGCTATGCATAGCTATATAGGTTAAAACCAGCAATTTGAATTGGGCTCAGAGGCGTACAGGCAGTCAATGCAAACAAATCATAATTGGTGTTATATGTATGGACCTTCTGGTTCCAGTTATCAATCTGGCCACACAACATACTGCATGAGTTGCAGTTTAAATTGAGCAGCTCCATGCAGAGTGCATTTCAGTAGTATAATTATCAGAATATATATCACTGAAATCAGGGACATAGTTGGGCCACCAGCTAAGGCTAGTAGAAGGCACTCTATGCTGCTGAGGCCACCTGAACCTGAAGGGAACAAAGATGGATCAAAGAGAACCCCATGCTATGAACCTCCTCCTTCAGGGTAAGGGCAACACCCTCCATATGATCAGAGGAACCACCCACCAACGGCATCTCAGTTTTATCCATATTGAGCTTCAGTTTGCTAGCTGTCATCCAGTCCATTGTCACAGCCAGGCAGCAGTTTAGCACAGCCAAGCTTCACCTGATAAGGATGAAAAGGAGAACTTGAGCTATGTGTCATCAGCATACTGATGGCAACACCACCCAAAAGTTCTGACTGGAAATGTTACAGGCAGGCAAAGCTAGCTAAGGGCTTTCCTTTACCCATGCCTTTCCAAATCGGGAAGAGACTGAAGCTGGCACCTGAACAAACTACTGGCTCATGGAGCACTCCTGGAGCTGTCAACTCAACTCAACCAATGGGTTTCATCTCTAGCGGAGGGGCCCTGATCTTCATAAGATTTAATTGTTGTGAACTATTAAAGAGCTTTGCTAATGGGTGGTACAGAAATGTAATACATAAACCAACAAACAAAATGCTATGAAAGGGACGAGAGTGCTCCCCCCCCCCAGCTAATCTTCATACATCTGAGTAAGAGCTTGTTATGGGTGTGACTTCTTCTCTGGCATGTGAAAATGTGTGTGTGTGTGTGTGGGGTGAATGCCAATAGGAGCTCTGCCCACTTTGGGTAATAGCCCCATCCACTGCTGGCATGTGGCCTATGACATCTTGGCCTAGGGCCAATTTAGCCCTCAGGCTGAAAATAATTCCCCAGCCCTACTCTAGGAAATGGTTTCTTGATGAAAGTTTCTGAATGTGGCCCAGAAAGCTGAGTTTTCTTAATCAAAGCTACATTGGAGCAAGGAAATTTATTCTTTTTGAGACATATTCATTCCTAGGCAATTAGGGTGCAATTACTGTTATTAGGATAATAAACTGTTTAAAAGAAACTTGTTTTAAAGTTCAAGAGTATCAACACAATGCTTCTGTACTTTAACTCCATGCTCTTAAAAAACCATCACTAACTGGACTGTTTATGGTGAACATGAAAAATGTTCCTATATATAGCTGATACGTCATGGTACTCCTTTTGAGACAGATATTTATTTGATTTTTATCCTTTTAAGAACTCAAAGCAGCTTACATCCTTCACCTCTTCCTGCTTGTAATCTTACCCTCACAACAACCTTGTAAAGTAGGTTGGGCTGAGAGTCTCTGACTGGCCCAAAGTCATTCAGTTGGGTGCGTGGAGACTAGAAATCAGATTGCCTAAGTCCCAGTCCTGCACTCTTAATGACTACACCACATTGGCTCTTTCTGACTTGCAAGATACAGCTTGCAGAGTAGTTTATCAAGGGCCAAAGAAAGTACATTCCTACAGTTTTGACTGAACAGCTATGTGATGGACTTTTCAAAGTTTCCTTTGAGAGATCATACAGAAAGTTCTGTCTCTTTATGCAGAGAGGTTAACCTCTCCTAATTTAATCGAGTACTCATAGTAGTAACTTGATACCAGGTAGCTGCTGCTCATACTCGTTTCTATTTGCTGTCTTGCTACTTTGGGTGACAGCGTAATCACAACAGCAGTGTCAAAATCAGAGTGCGCTTCATGTCCTAGGGGAGTGTGTGTGTGCTGTGCGTGTGGTGAGGGAAGTGGCCTCCTCATCTGCCCCAAGAAGTCAGCTGCAGACATGTGAGGAATGTGACTGCAATGCCAAGAATCCCTTGCTGGCCCAACCCACCATCGGGGAGACCATTTAAAGTGAGCTGAAGGGGCATGAAGCACTAGCAGCCCATAAAAAACTGTAAGCTGGGAAGACAATTTAGTATTAAGCAAGAGACTTTTGAAGTAGGATGGAGTGATGCATGAAAGGTTTTTCTTTGCAAGATTTTGAAAACATCCCATGACCACAAAGAATTGTTTTCAAAAGCCTTATATGACCACTGAGTCCAACCCCCTGCTCCACTTCCACATGTGGTCACCCATTTGGCTGCAGGCCTGGGCCTTTCCAGCTTAGCAAAGGTGACTCAACATGGTAGTTTGATGTATAGCTATGCAGCAGTAGCTCTTTATCCCTCCCACTTTCCCATTTTATTGAGGGATGAGATTGGAAAAAGCCAAAATTTGTGCTGTTGTTTAAAAGGCCAGTTTAAATATCCAGGAAGACTGGGTAGCTCGTAAACAAGCAGCAGATTGCTTTTTGAAGTGTCAGGAAACAGTTTTTTCATAAACTGGAATATATCATCTGGGAAGAATTTTCCCTAAAGAGGAAAGCCACTCTACATATGCTAAGATGACTGCGCCATTTATATCTACTTCACAAAGTTCAGGTGGTTCCTGAGTTAAGAAAAGCCCAAACTACCACTAACAATAGTTTACATAGCAATATTTTTAGTATACCATAGTTTGATGGTCCAGGCCAGAAGGTGAAAGCCTTAGCTATTTTTCAGGAAGTCTCCAATTCAAATTTATCTTCTGCCATGAATTCAATAGGCAGCCTTTGGCCAAAACACCCTTTCCAATCTCAGTCCTGCGTATTTGTAATCTAATTATCAAGGATACTGACCAATTTTATCAATATTAATTCAATTATAACCAATGAATAATTTTATATGTCATGTAAAAAGTATCCAGGCAGTGTAGAAAACTGGCAGGATTGTGGTTTAATTATAATAGCTGAGTGGATTGCATAAAGCAACAAGAATAAAACACATGTAGACAAAAAATTCTTGGCATGTGAAAGCACTGAACAAATGTTGAGAATTCTTCCCATTCTTAACAAAAAGAGACAAAGTGCAATCATCTCTGTGAGTGTCTGTGCCTCTCTTGGCTATTCGTTCACAAGTGGTTTCTATAAATTTACAAAAAGCAAAATATCAGGTACTGTTAGCGATGACTAAGAAAATAACTGCGTGGATTTTGAAAGCAGAGGCCGTTCATAACCTCTTAGCTCTACATCCTGCAACATGACCTCGAACAGGTGAGGTGAAACTGACTGAAGGGACGAGATTTCAAAGAAAACAAACCAGAAACCACCCAGAGCGTCTCCCGTCCCCGTTCAGTCAACGCTCGCGCATGCGTACAGCAGGGCGGCTCGGGCGCCGGAGCAAGGCGGGTGTTGTCCCATCATGCCTCGCGACAACACCCCCCCCCCTCCCCGTGGGTGGGTGAGCAGAGTGAATCTGTCCGGCCGATGATGGAGCTAAGAGTGTAATGGCGGCCGGCGGTGGCAGTAGCAGCAGCGGCAGCGCCTCGGTCTTGGCGCTGCTCTGACAGCAGGCTACTCCTCCGAGCGGCCTTGGCCCTCCTCCCTGGGCCGAACCTCCCCACAGAGAGCGCCGCCGGGGCTCGGCAGCGCACACAAGGCGGGAAGAGGAAAAGGGGAGGACTCCCTACAGACAATGGACGAACATCCCGGCACCGGCGGGGGGATCATGGCGGGGGCCGCCCCGAGACCTCAACAGCCGCCTTTGCCGCCCACCGGAGGAAGCATTAACTCTCAGCTGCTCAGTCAGGGTTGTGCGGGACCTGGTGGCGGCGGAAGCCTCCCGCCGCAGCAGCAGCAGCCTCAAGGTCCGGCAGCTCAGGAAACGGTGGGCCCTGGCAGCGGGTCGGAGCTTTCCCGGCCTCAACACTACACCATTCCGGGGATTCTGCACTACATCCAACACGAGTGGGCCCGTTTCGAGATGGAGCGTGCTCACTGGGAGGTGGAGAGGGCCGAGCTCCAGGTAGGGCCAAGCCGGGTTTGGGGTGTGCTGGCGGGCGGGAGAGCGAGGGATATACACAATGAAAGAGTGACTGAGGCGAGATTGGTCCGCAAGAAGTTAGAAAGAGAGAGAAAGAAGCTGCCGCTTTGGGGCAGCGGCAGTATGGTTGAGGTGTGAACAGGGCGGGAGAGGACAAAAGTACCTGTGCGTGGCGGGTCCGGTGAGGCGTGGCGGGCGTCACTCGGCGCATCCCCCTCACAGCTCCTCGGGTTGGGCTGCCTTCCTCGGGGCAGCCATTTTGGTTTCTAGCATGGCGCCCGCCTGATCTAGGCCTGTCAAGCTAGTCCAGAGAGGGGAGGGTTATCCTCTCCTAGCGCTCTCCCGGCCCGAGATTAGGGCACCGTCTGAACTCTGGCCATTGGGGGTCGGACACCTTAACGGTTACTGTGTTACATGCGGTAGCGTCATTTTTTCGCTTGCCTCCTGACATTTCAGAGGCTTTTAGGGCCTAGAGAGTGGACAAGGATAATTTCTTAGAGCGCGTTATGATCCAGGTACCTTAGCCCGGGACCATTTTCTCAACTGCTAACTTGGGAATGCAAATCATGTGCATCCTTCGGATCAACTCCTGGCGAGAGCTCTATCTCCTTTCTAGGAATAGGAGGCGTGGCCCCCCGACCTCTCTTTTCAGTATCCACATGGTTGATACTACTAGTAAAAAAGAAAGAAGGGACTGAAAAGGGATAATTGATCTTATTGGGCTTCTCTGTCCATTACCTCAATTAAGTTTGCCTTTACAAAACCAAAGTGTTGTTGTAACAAATGCAAATATTAGATAGACATCAGGGTGGTGCTTCCAGTACTGTTAGTGTACAATACAGAGTGATAAATCTGATTTTGTCACTAATAATGTGTGGGCAGTGATTAAAACTGGGTGTATAGATGCAGCTACATGTATGTATATCATTATATCTAAATGGAAATTTCAAATTAATAGGCTTTTAAGCAGGTGCAACCTGATTTTTTTAAAAAAGCAGTTTAATGATAAAATCTGCATTCGTAAAAGATTTATCGCGTGGTTCAGCTGTACATCCACATATAGTTACCTGAAGGAACAGCGTGAATTAGATGTGATGTGTTTTAAAAGTAAAGACATATTTTTTGTTATTAATGTGATTGGTTTTCAAGAAAGCTAGAAATGTTATTTGGAAGTCCCAGCTCTATCAAAGAACAGGTACTGACCTGTCCAAGGTGGCACAATCTCTTACCCTCATTTTCCTGTTTGGGAAGAAAGGGAATAATCTTTCAGAATTCTTGTGAGGGCAGACTAAAACATATAACTACTATAAAAGAATCTAATTGAGTCCAAAATGTCTGCTTGGTTTACAGTGTTGTTACTGATTATTAGAAAATAAACCAGTAAGTGAAGAACAATGTTTTTGGCAAATATATCATCTCACAGAAGACTTGCACTTTTTGTTGGCTTCAGGGATTATTTATACCAAGGTGAAGGAATGGCCATGTTCTTCTGAAGTTGCTTCATCTAGTGTCTCATTTTAAATCATATAGGATCTATTTTGATCTGATTCTGTCTGTCTTCATTTTAGGGCACAATCCTAAGCACATTTAGGCAGGAAAATCCCAACTTCCCCAGCCAATCATGCTGACAGAAGGACCAAGCAATTTTTAGTGAAATTGGGATAATGAAATGTGGCAAATGTACCACCATATTCAAAGTTCTCCTAACTGCTGCTGTCCAAGGTGCATGTGTATGTGAGCTCCTTGGAGGATCCTCAAAGCTTCAGATATAGTACCATCAAAGTCACTTGTGCTATACCATGGATCAACCTGTTTTGAAGGTGTTTACACCAGCTACTGCTGGTGTGAGCACTGCCAGCAGTTGCTTCATGCCAGTAGAGCTCCTGGTGAATGTAGTGTGTGGCCTTTGCAGTGGTGGAACCCTGTTCTGCTGGGGGCAACACCCTTTTAGGATTGTTTTACAAATCCTCCTTTGACAGTTTGATAGGACATGTGTCTATCCAGGTTTGCTTCCAGATACCTTTGGAGCAGTAGCTTTTTTCATCTTATTCTCTTACTTTGTCACACCTTCCAAAATTTGTTTGAAGTAGTGGTATTATTTTTGGAAACAAGCATTTATCTCTAGTTTTAGACAACTGTTACTTTGCTTTGTAGCTTTTATTTAACTCTTTATAATATTTCTTCAAATATTGCACTTTTATTTAAGATGAATGTGTTTTGAATGCTTATTTGCTCAATTTTTATTAGCACATTATTAAAAATGTGTTTATCACAGTCTGTCTTAGTAATGAAAATCTGTAAGAAAACCCCAACATGGAATGTTTCCTATTACTGGATTGGAAGTGGGCAAGAAATATGTCAAGCTTAAATGAGGTGGAATTACCTGCTTTATCACATTCCTAACTGAGGCAAAGGTGGTATCTTAGATGTATTTTACTTGATCCAACAATTGGAAAGTAATCAGTGACAGCAGATGAGTGCTTTTTGTTTCTTAGTACTTACTTTGTGTGTGTTTACTTATCTGCCTATGTATCTCTAGAATAAGAGCACCATTACATGCTGGTTGTTTCAGCATTATGTCACCATTAAGAACCCTAGTTCATAAAGTGTAAGGTATAACTTCTCTAGCTGAATGACACATTCTCTTGACCTAGTGTTGTTACCCTGGAGAATGCCTCTGTTAATATAAATTGTGAGCAGCCCTGTACATTTTGAATATAAAATGACTGTGATGCCTTACATTGGTCTTCTCCAGCTGAATGGTCTTCAGATTACATGGGGATTCCCAGTCAGCACCTGGTGGGTACAGGTTGACAAGATCGCCTTACACTGCAGTTAACTCATATATCTTTCATGTAATTACTAGTGCTAATAGACCATAACACATGTCACTGGTATATGCTTTGTGATCATGCTGCCCAATTAAGTTTGATACTACTCCTCCACTTAAGATACCATGTTTACTTTGTAATTAGTGGCATTTGTGAGCAACTTTAGAACTGAAGAGCTCAAGTTCTTACTCCTTCTAAAATGTATTAAGCATCTCTCAGACTTGCAGGGCTCTTCTCAACATGGGTATATTATGCTAATTTAATATAATTTCCCCCATTCCAGACAAAAATATTAACATCATTCCAAATGATACTGATTTTTTTAATTGCATTGGAAATTTTTCAGTTAGCACTGGAGAAATTTTCATACCCTAGAGAGATCTAATTTAAGATGTTTATTTTACTAGTATTTAGTAAATAACAAAGTTTTTAAAAGTACTTGAGCCAATTAGACCTGGAAAAAGAATTAGGAAAAACTTAAGCACACTTAATATGATTTACATTGCAGCCCTATTGAGATGAGTGTAAGACCCTGAACTTTGAGTCTTAATTTTTATCTCCTGGCTTATCCTGCTTTGCATTGTTTGTGAATAGCAGTTTTCATTAATCTAATGATGACATCTCAGAGGGGGCAGGAAGGAGACTACTGCTACTTATGGATACCCACCCCAGCCTATTTTGCATGTTCCCCCAAATACCCCCATTTGCCCCCTCCCCCCCAAGATGGCTTTTCCAACCTCAGTGCAGTCAGCATGATCTTTTCTGCAACAGCTGTGATGGAGTGGGGTGGGGTTGCAGCTCTGATTCCCATTTATGAGGTTAGAATGATGTCTGATCTAGCGCTGGGAATCTGAACTGTTCTGCTCAGTGGAAGGGAGATTTCCTGAAATCAGTCTGTTTTTATAGTTTTGGTTTTCCCAAACTTAAAAAAAGAGAAAAAACTCGAGATAACGCTAAACAGTAAAAGTTGTATGCTGGGAGAATGCAAGTTGAGGAGAGAATTAATGGAAACTGGAAATCCCCTCTGTGTGAACTTCAGTGTCTTTTATTCACATAAGAAGCTCTATGTATTCTGCCATCATCTATAATGAGACTGCATGTACCAGAAGAAAGGAATTGATGATAAATAATTGGACTAGAATAAAAAAAATAGTAGAAGGTATGTATGATTTGAATCTCAAAGTGCAACCCAAGACAAAGTAAATAAAGATTGTTCCAGTGATATGTGTTGACTGTGCTCCCGTGGTTCTGATAAGCAAATGGAAAAGTAAATGCGATAGTAAAGTAGCAGGGGAAAATGCCAACTATTTTGTAACTTGCTACAAAAATCAGGAGCTAGTGCAATAAATAAGGCAAGACAGAATATATTTATCACAAATATACAAAGTGACAAACTTAAAACAGTAAAAAGAGACATTTCAGTTTCTTGTAAAAATTAAGTAACAGATTAAGAAATCACTGTAACTGAAACAGTGGTCAGTGGATTCAGCAACAATTAAATATTGCAAAGGATAAACTTTAGTGAATGTTTATAGCACAGCCAAAACTGTATGTTACTGCAGAACAAATTAGGAAGCAAACTGGCTAAATGCAGTGTTTTAGCAAACAATGACAAAAATATTCTGTTATTACTACAGTAAGATTGAAAAACCTAATAAAAATGAGAGACGGAACAGTCCAGAAAACGTTCTGCCACTGGAAGGTCTTCTGTCAAAGGAAAGGAAACTTTGGATCCAACTCTACGCAAATATTATTCTAATATTTGTGTCACCATATCACCAAACTCAACATTATCAGCACAAGGGTCTAAAGATATTTCAGTGCCCATGTAGCTATAAATACTTTCTGCTTCATAGTTGGTTCTTCCCGTCTATTTTTCCAAAAAAAAAAAAAAAAAAAGTTCTAGTTTGTATTCCTGTGGTCTTGTATGGTGCACAATAGCACCCTTGAAGATCTTAACTATATCTTAACCCCACTGGAAACAGGGCTTTGTTTTTTCGGTTTAACTTGGAAACAGTTACTGGATGCAAGGCTTGCTTTCTGATGCCTGAAGCTGCCATTGATCTGTTCAACAGAATGAATAGGAAAGAGTTGTTTCTTGGCCCTGTCCAGTCTTCCACCAGCATAGCTCTTCTCCCCTCTGCTCTTACTCCTCCTTCTGAGCCCCTAGTCAAATTCTCTTTCTTTTACTACTTAACCTTGCTTTCTATTTCCAAACCTTTCTTTCCTTTCCTTGGGACTTAGGGATGTGGATCTGGAGAGCGTGGATAAATGGAACTGGGTAGTAAGTCTACCCAGAAGCAAGTATCAATGAGTTCTGTGTCAGAATTCATAGAATTGCAACATTAAAAAGGTAGGCTAGGTAGCAGGGATAGATGACAGCTGGAGGTGTGGACAGATTTCTGATACAGCTCTTATGTAAAAAGTATCCAGTGCCATTCCCAAAGTAAGTAATAATAATACAAAGAGTAACACAAAGCCACTTCTGGAGCATTAAGGTGAGGATCTGCTTGATATTCTACCATATCTTTTATGGTTTGTCTCTGAAAACCTGACATAGTACCCTGTATAAAATGGTTTTATCTATCTAGACCAGGGGTCT